TTAGAATAGTTTTAGTATTTTGAGATGGCGTTATTTCAAACGCCTTATTTCTTTGCGTTACTTTGCTTGTTTGCTCTTCTATTTTATTTCAATGCTTCTTCTTCTTTTGCTTCTTATTGCTCCCGCATGCTCATATTACATTGGAGTTGGTATAGGAGATATTACGGGTCCTGCTGCCGAAGTCAACATGGTAATTAATGAATTTTAATTTACAAAGTTTAGATGGGATATGCGAATCCAGATCAAACAGATTCAGGAATACATTTGCGCCTATATAGCAGAGCTTTCATTATTAAAGAAAATCAGTTCTCAAAACCGATTGCATTTGTCAGTCTTGATGCTGGAATGACTTCTCAATTGGTTAAGTTTGAAGTTGTGAATCGGCTCAAGACACTATTCAATGCTACATACGACCACTCCAATGTTATGCTTAGTTCTACGCATACCCATTCAGGGCCAGCGGGCTATTTTCAATATCTGCTTTTTACCATAACCTCTATGGGCTTTGTAGGTCAGTCATACGAGGCTCTTGTAGAAGGAATTGTTAAAGTAATTTTCGTTTATCTAAGAAGCTGCAGAGCATATATCAAGCCCATTTCAATGTTAAAGAAGGAAAAATCTTATATTCGAAGGGGGATCTTTACAATGCTAGCATCAACAGAAGTCCAGCATCCTATATGCTAAATCCTGAGGAAGAAAGAGCAAAGTACATTCTTTTCGTCTTAACTTTTAGATATAAAACTGATGTTGACAAGGAGATGCTTCTTTTGAAATTTGTAGATAGTAAAGGAAATCCTATGGGGATGATAAATTGGTTTGCTGTTCATGGAGTTAGCATGAATAGCTCTAACTTGCTTATAAGTAGCGATAACAAAGGTGTTGCGTCCATTTTATTTGAAAGCGCAATGAACAAAAAACCCATTCTTGGAAAAGTTACTATCAATATTCCCTTATATGCTTATTAATTAATAGGGTCCTTTTGTAGCTGCCTTTGCTCAATCTAATGAGGGTGACGTTTCGCCAAATATTAAAGGGCCAGTTTGTATCGACACCGGCAAACCTTGCGATTATGTTCGTAGTACATGCGACGGTAAAGTAGGCACATTTAAATTATTTTGGTTTTATCGTAGTCTCAAAAATGTATAGCATTTGGGCCGGGAAAGGATATGTTTGAAAGCACCATGATCATTGGCAAACAGCAGTTTAAGAAGGCCCTCGTTAGCTTATATTCTTATTTATTTAACCAATAAAGGAACTATTTGACGCGGCAACAGATGAAGTGTCTGGGCAAGTTTCTTCCATCCATCAATATGTTGATATGACGAATGTGAACGTTCAATATAAAGAAGTAGGCATCTTCAACATTAATTTATCCTAGAAGGGAAGAAAAGGAAGTACTTGTAAGCCAGCCATGGGATTTAGCTTTGCTGCTGGGACAGTGGATGGTCCTGGAGCCTTCGATTTTTCTCAAGGTGGTTTCTTTTTTTGGCCTAAGCTTCTCAATTACATGAGTATTTCCTTTAGCTAATTATGATCTAAGATGGCAATTATAATAATATCATAACTCATTAAAAATAATTATTGTTTGCATTTTATATTTTAAAAAATACTTGACAAGGTATTTTAGCTGCTTACAATGAATAAAAGCTTCACATTTGCAAATCTTTAAAAATGTATTTTATGGCAAAATGCCATTTTACATTAATAAATTCGTGCTCATTTAAGTTTTATCAACAATATTTTCATCGTTATTTTTCGTCGACATCGAGCGTGGTTGAGACCTCAGCCTACTTCAGTTTATCAACTAGGCAATGCATTGAAACTTGTTCCTCAATTTATTTTGTGGCATGAATTTTATAGTTAATATTCGTTTATTAAAGCAGTGAACTTTGTTTCTACACAACATTGTATGCTGATTTTGCAAATTACTAAAACTTTTCAGTTTCAGAAGTGGGTTGACCTCTTCGCAACTTGGTCTTGTTATCTGGAGAACATAGTAAAACGCACCCAGTCTGAAGTCCATTGCCATAGTGGCTATCATAATTCTCAGCATCAGATAGTGGACTCGGCACATTCTCTGACGGTTCGCTGACATCGTAGTCTGCATCATCAGTGAGTGCTACTATTCTCCACGCCAAGCTACGAACTCGGCAAAGAGACAAGTGAAGTCAATCCCTCGACTAACGTTCTGCCGAAAACGCTCACTCACTCCTCTTTCTGTTGGGGCCTATCTTTTAACTCTACTCTCTTTTCAAACTCCCACTCTATCACAACTTCTGACTTGTTTACATTCCACTCGTCAAAACGTGTGCTAAATCTAGTGTGGCCTCTTTGCACCTGGCCTAATTCACCCTGATCCCCTCTCCTTTGATCGGCTAATCCGACTCGGGCCTACTATCCGGATCTCCCTCATGGTCTCGTAGCTCCGTTTCTTATCTTTCTGGTTGATCAATTTCACTCGGTTCCAGTCCCTGTGTGCGTTTCATTCCAGGCGCTATTTCTCAAAACCCTAGAAGCACGTACACTACCGCCTCATTGAACAGAGTGCCTAGGCTTTGATTCCCATGCTTGCAGATATTAGGCATTTTCTTCACGGGTCGTCTACTTGATTAAACACATGTTAACTGAGCAAACTATGAATGCCTATCTCTGGTCGCATGCGGCATCTCAAGTGGATTTCTAGTACATTTTGGCCATAACGCCGAATTT